AAAAAAAAAAAAAAAAAAAAAGATATTTTTTGGCCTGTTTGGCAACCTTCCCTAATGTTCTTACTTTATTTGATGGGGAATAAGGTTATGATATGATACAATGTTTATCCTGCTTAGCATTTAAATAATATTATTTATTGGCAAACTGATAATCAATGAACGGATATAAAAATGTTCGTGCTGCTAAACACACATAGGGTTTGTATGAGTTTATGTAGGATCTAAATGCCTCTATAGTGGCATATCAGGTGTTCCCAATATGATTGTATCTAGTAGACTTTCCATTCTTAGAACCCAAGTAAATTGGTAGCAAATTTAATAAATTTGGAGTTTATATAATACTATTAATTATAATTTATAAAGTACTTACCATGTGCCAGACACTATGTTAGAATTGCTAGGTGCACTTCCTAATATAATCATCAAAATAATTCTATGAATTAGGTATTGATATAGTTCTTGCTTAACATAGGAAAAAGATGAGTTTATAGAAGTTTAGAAATTTGCCCAAGTGATTCAACACTGAAATGGCAGAGTCAGAATTTATGTCCAAATTGTCCATGTCCATAGTTTATGGTCTTAACCCCCACACTATATTGCTTTGTAAAATTATCCCCTGAAAATGAAGTATTCCTGGAGATTAACAATATCACCAGTATCTATCAAACCTATTTACCAAATGTAAGTAATAACTTTAATTATGCATTGGAGAAAGAAATGCATTTGCTTATACAGGTGGTTTAAATTACAAAGATTAAAGTTTTTAGCTTTCTCAAATTTCGAATTTATGAAGGAAAATTAGACTTTTCTACTTTGATGTCAAAAGTATATTAGATTTCTTCCTATTATTTGCAGAATAGAAAGATAAGTCATTTATCCATTTGATACATACAATGCATAATGTGTTGATACAATTCCATATACCCTGGCATAAGGTAAAGTATAAGTTAGCTACAGGTTGTGCCTTTTTGTCAAATTTTTTTGAATAGAATTAGATGGCTTTTGAGGATTAGACAGTGCTGTACCGAAAAGAACAGATAATGACTATTTGACAATAAGCTTTGACTGAATTAAATTTACTCATATATTAAATCATAGCTACTATAAGAGTAAACTTATTCCTAATATAAGATAAATATTTAAGATGAGTAGAGAATAGGAAGGGTTTATTTGAGCTCTGGCAGCATTTAATAGTGTTTATCATGTGCTATGGGTTGGAGAAACATAAACAAACCTGTGAGGACCCCCAGAAACCTAAAGAAAAACAGGATGGCATGCATGCCTAGTATGAAAACACTTAATAGGAGATTTCCAGGTAGACAAGTTGAAAGGGCATTTGGCAATAGCAGCATTTGCTTTGTGAGGTAAATCAAGGGTATATAACTAATTCGGCAATTGCTTAATCAAGAGGCATATATGAAATCTATAAATGATTACAAATTCTTGAAACTCCAGGTTTAATTTGGTGAGTTTGCTTCATACTGTGGGTATTACACTTTTTTCCAAAGGTGCCTTTATTTCTCTTTCCTTATGAAGGAGATGAAACTCTCTGTGTTATGATAAGAATAGAATAGATTTATATTCTGAAGCACAGCACAACTGAATAATTTGTAGCTGGCTTTCAGCAGTACAGCTGTAAAGTGACTGAAGACGCTCTTTTAGGCAATTGTCAATCCAGAGGGATTAGGGGTTTATTCTATTTTTTTGAATCTTCAAAATGTAGGCAATGTTTAGAAGTTGGCCTAAAATATTTAATGTTTCTTTTTATGATCCAGTTTTATTTGTATATGCATAACTATTGAACCAAGACTATTATTTTTGGTGGGGTCTTCTTACTATGTTTAGATGTAGATATAGATGGTATAGATATAAGTATTCTGCTTACATATGTTGTAAGTACCTGTACATATATTAAAATAAATCCTCAAAAGATCTTGGATACATTCTGTCATTTTTCGGAAGAGTCGCCAACAATTCTTATTTTGTGCACATAACAAGAATCCTCTAATAAGGATCATACAGTATAATGAAATAATTATTATAAATATAGATAATAAAATAATAATTTACATGTATAGATAATGAAATGATAATAGTTAACATGTATTGAGCACTTACCATCCATACCTAACTCTGTTTTAGGTGATTTATATGCATTATCTCATTTAATTTTTTCAGCGTCTCTAGGAGATAGATGCTAGTTTTATACTACCCTGTAGATGAGGAAAATGAGGCACGGATAGGTGGTGTGAATTGCACAGGGCCTGTCAGTGGGCCAGTGGTGGACCTGGCATGTAATTCAGGCTCTCTGATGGTGGGTCCTGTGTGCTTCACCACTAGTCACATGGTCTCTGGATTGGATCATGTTGTCAATGGATGATGTTGTCTTGATCATGTTGTCAACAGAGAAATTCACTGTGGATATCATTTGTTGTCACTATAATCACTTCTAAAGATCATCAGAGCATTTCTTATTTAAAGCAGAACTTTCTGATTCCTATTTGGAGGGCTTGGAAGGGAACCCTGTAACCTCTCCTGTCCACTCACCCCCCTGCTGCCTCTGATGAAGTAGGACACTGTGACTTGACTTCTCGCTCCTCTTTCCAGGTCCATCTTTTATTATCCCTGGACATGACATTTTAAATGAAAAGGTTTTCCGGTTCATAGAATTATTTGATTTGAAAACCATGATTGAAATCAAAGGTTGTGTGAAAGCCCTCTAATGCATACTACATATGAGTCAGTATTATTTACAAAGCGATACTTTGATATATTGCTTTTCCTGACATGCAACTGCTTGTTTCTTAAATGTCTTCTTGAGCAAGAGTCTTCACTCCCTTAGGAGCCAGTTTGCTTCCTTTATTGCAACTTGCTGTGACTATAAGCTCATGACAGTATTATGAATATATTTTATGTTTACCAATGTATACACTGTCTAGTACATACTACAATATCACAAAGATAATTTTGAAAGCAAGAAAAAAAGACCAAAGAAATAAAAAAAGAATTAATACATGAATGGATGAATGATTGACAGCTACTTTTTGTTATTTAACTGTGCTACCTCGAGGCTTTTTCGTTACCAAATATCTTTCTAAGTTGCTCCTCTTGAACTGCTTAGGCCTAGAAGTCATTAACCAAACATACCAACACGGTATGTGAACTGAGAGCAAATGCGCACAGGTAGGGGCTCACAGAGCTCTCAGTAAATAGATACTTTTCATTAATATTATTTCCTTGAAATGATTATTATTAGAGAAGTAAATTCCAGATAAATGTAGCATCCCTTTATGTTATTAAGGCTATTAGTAATAGGTGCTATTTCTGAATTGCTTCCCATGTGTAGACATTGTCTTTAATTCTTTGTATGCATTATTAATTTTAGCTCTTAAAAATTCTCATGAAATTGATTCTATCATGATTCTCATTTTATGCATAATGAGATCCTCCCAAATTCCACAGTATGGAAACGGTAAGGTGAAAGAATTGACAATTAATGTGCCTCATGACAGTTTTTGTTAGTGTCCAGACTCTTTGTTCTTTTGGTATCAGGGTTTCTAAGGACTAGAAGGTTGCATCAGGGCAATGTAGGAGAAGCTTGGCTTTATGTATAGATTAGCGGGGTAATGCATGTAGCAATAATCTTCATTGCCATTTATTTGAGTGTTGTGTTGTTCTCCTCTGTTGTTAGGTGGAGAACAACAACAACAACAATGAATCGAGTTTGAAATGATTATGAATAGGCAAAAGAGTGTTCCTTTTTAGAAAAGGAAAGAATATTTGCTTAACTCTTATCAGTATTTTCATTTGACATTCTGATCTCATCAAATATTCCCTGAAAAAGCAGAAGAAAATCTTTCCATTTGTGCTAAAACTCAGATACTCAGGACACAATCTTAGACCAAGATTTCTTCTTATTTTTTTTTTCCGTCTTGAGTTTACAAAATTCTGACGTATAGGGCATTTGATTTTGTCTTCAGGTGAGTTAATGGTTCTGTGAGAGGAAGGTGCCTTGAGAGATGGAGTCAATAAACACAAACTTCACTGTCACTGAATTTGTCTTCCTGGGCTTGTCCCCCGAACCAAAGATGCAGCTGATTCTTTTTATTATGTTCTTGTTCTTCTATTTATTAACGGTGGCTGGAAATGTTATAATCATCACTATCATCCAGATGGGACCTCGTCTCCAAACCCCCATGTACTTTTTCCTCACCAATTTATCTTTTCTGGACATTTGCTACACATCCACCAATGTTCCACAAATGCTGTCCAACATGGTGGGGAAAAAGAACACCATCCCATTCTCTAGCTGTGCTACTCAGATGTACTTCTCCCTCTCCTTTGGAATGATTGAGTGTATCCTCCTTGGTATCATGGCTTATGACAGATATGTAGCCATTTGCCATCCTCTGCATTATGCTTTCATTATGGAACAAAACACCTGCATTCGACTGGCAGTCATTTCTTGGTCCAGTAGCTTTCTGAGTTCCATGGTTATCAATGTTCTTACTTTGAGTTTGCCCTACTGTGGGCCTAACATCCTGAATCACTTTTTCTGTGAGGTACCTTCTGTCCTGAGGCTGGCTTGCACTGACACCTCATTCACGGAGCTGGTTGTTTTTATCTTCAGTATCATCATTGTCTTCATCCCTTTCCTCTTCATTTTTATTTCCGACATCCGGATCCTTCAATCTGTTCTCAGGATGCGGTCAGCCTCTGGGCGGTATAAGGCATTATCCACCTGTACCTCCCATTTGACAGTGGTGACTTTATTTTATGGGACTGCCATCTTCATGTACATGAGACCCCGGTCAAAGTCCTCCTGGGCTGGGGGCAAGATCATTGCAGTTTTCTACACAGTGCTCACACCCATGCTCAACCCCTTGATTTACAGCCTGAGGAACCAAGATGTGAAAGGAGCTTTAAGGAGAGCTATTTCAAAGCAGAGGATGTGACAGCTGGTAAAGAGACACCAACCTTCACTCTTAATCTAAGATAATTACCTTCTGAAAGTGAGAAAGTAAAAAATAGCTCGGAGAGCCAACATCTGCCCAGTAGTCATTTATGAAGGGTACATAAATTCAGGTGCAAACTCAGCAGCAAAAAATATTTCCTCCAAGCACATGGCAGGGCTTTCATGTGACCAAACGACTCCCTTCATTGAGCTACTGCTATTACGTTACTCACTAAAAAATAAATAAAATAAATCACTTGTTTCTTTAAAATCACAGACTATCTGAAATTATTTTTTTGAAATTAGTGAGGTAAAATATTTTTCTCTCTTCTGGAGAATCTAAGTCATTTTGATACAGAAGAGAAATCTCAATTTCCAACTCAGGTGCAGAAATTCAGATTAATGGTTTTCTAATGCAACAGTCCACATCTGTGTTAATTTTGTAGTTTCCAGGGAAACAGAACCCTGCATCTACTTTTTTTGTTTGGACTTCTCATTGTTCCCTTTACCTATCCTGCTTTGTAATATTTTATCAAAATATTGCTTCATTTAAATTTCACCTAAACTCCTTTCTTCCCACAAATTCAGTGATAGCTCTAGTTCTTCCTATGTTTGAAGAAATACTCCATGGTTTCCCTGACGTGTGTTCCCTCTCTTTGCAATGTGTCAGAAAAATCTTAATTTGTCTATGTATAAGTTTGTTCCTGGTGACCTTAGACTAATTGTGTGTACAGGTGGAGGAGGGTGATCAGAAGCAGAAGATTTGGTCAAGTGTTAATTAATATATTAAAGGATTCATTTACTCATTGATAGCTTATTATTTCATTACTATGTAATATAATGTTAAACAAAACAGAAATGTATCTTGTTCTTAAGGCATATATATGTCGTATACTTATTCTCTATGTTTATAAATATATATTATGCATGTAGATACATACAGTCACAAATTATGATAGCTGCAATAAAGAAATACTTTTCAAGAGGCGGTGATAGGCAATAGGAAAGATGTCCTCCTCTGAGGAGATTGCATACAAGAACCAGAAGGAGAGAGAAGAGAAAGATTGAGGTCTTTCTTAGTTAAGAGTTATTGGACCCAAACTAGAGAAATAAAAGAGTGTGCTCACTTTGAGGGAATAAAAGAAACTAGTGAAAGAAACCAGTGTGGCTGGGGAAGCTGCTGCTAGCTAGCTGAGGGACTGTAGAGAGCAGTAGGGGCTTACTCTTATGCTTAGAAAAGTGTAAGTATTCTGAAGAAGAGAGATACAGCACAACTTATGTTTTCATGAGATTTTTCTGTGTGATGTGTGGAGGACATTAATTAGCAGCACACAATTGTGAAAGAGTTTCCCACATATTGATGCTTTTCAGCCAGTATCGGTAAGGATAATTATTCTTTGAATTAAAAGAATAGCTAAATATAATTTAGCATTAATAAAATTAATAAATTATTAATACTATTATTAATATTTAATTAAATGTGGTTTGTGATTTACACATTATTAAATCAGAGAAAGATCCTTCTAAAATAGTTTCTCACTGGTTTATTCAACAATGTAAAGTTTTTTAAAAAGTTCATCTTTCAGATACATCTAACAACTAAAATGAAATCATTTTTTTCTAACTAAATATAAAGATCATTTATAATCAGTAAATAAGACATCTAATTGCATAGGTAGAGTAGACATCACTGGCTTAAAATTTAAAATATTTTAAAAGTTAAAAGCAAAATCACTAACCAAATAGTCAAATTCATTACACAGTAGTTTTTTTTCTTTTGTTGTTGTTTTATATATTCAACCAGATTTATGGATGACGTGATATATTTTATATTTGGTTAATATGTGAAGTAGGAAGAGCAATATATAGTTCTAACAAATTTCCTTTTGAACAATTTATTAAAAATGGGAATAACACTTAAAATTCCCTCAGACATTATCAAATAAGCATGCTTAGTGGTTAACTATAATTCAGAAACATATTTTACTAGTTTTGAAAAAAACAAAATATCTAATGCATATTCAATTAAAACATTTATTTTTTGATTCACAGTATTATTAGCCTATCTTACCTCTTGAACTCTAAAAATAAGTGAATTAAAAATGCAGAAAAAATTACAACACCATTCTCACAAGGGCTACACTTGGCCAAAAAATATAAAACAAGTGGAAGTAAATATCTGCTTTTAGGCAATTCATTATTTAGACCAATGGTGTGACTTCATTTATTCATTTTATTTTAATTTTTTTATTTCTATAGGTTATCGGGGCACAGGTGGTGTTTGGTTACATGAATAAGTTCTTTAGTGGTGATTCGTGAGATTTTGGTGCACCCATCACCTGAGCAGTATGTGCTACACCCTATTTGTAGTCTTTTACTCCTCACCCCCTTCCTACCCTTTCCCCCTGAGTCCCCAGTGTCCACTGTGTCATTCTTATGCTTTTGCATCCTCATAGCGTAGCTTCCACTTATGAGTGAGAACATAAAGATGTTTGGTTTCTCATTCCTGAGTTAGTTTACTTAGAATATTAGTCTCCAGCCTCATCCAGGTCATTGTGGATGCCACATAATTTATTCCTTTTTATGGCTGAGTAGTATCCCATCGTATATATATGTATATATACACATACATCACAGGTTCTTTATTCGCTTGTGGATTGATGGGCATTTGGGTTGATTCCCCATTTTTCCAATTGTGAATCATGCTGCTATAAACATGAATGTGCAAGTATCTTTTTTTGTATAATGACTTCTTTTTTTCTGGATAGGCGCCCAGTAATGGGATTTTGGGATCAAATGGTAATTTTACTTTTAGTTATTTAAGGAATCTCTACACTGCCTTCCATAGTGGCTGTACTAGTTTACATTCCCACCAGCAGTGGAGAAGTGTTTCCTGTTCACTGTATCCAGGGCAACATCTACCATTATTTTATTTTATTTTTATTATGGCAATCCTGAGAGCTTGGTGAAAAAGGAAATCCATTCATTCATTTTTGACCAGTGTGTTTGAAGTTGGGTAAACTAAAACAAATAATGCAATCCAGACAGCCTGTTTCCTATCCTATGTCTCATCTAGACTTCAAGTTTTCACCTTGCCTATGTTAATTTCTTCTGACATAAAAAGAAAATAAAATATTTTAAAGATATTTAACTGATAATTCTATGTAATATGTATTACAATCATTATCAGAGCAAAGAAAAATTACTTTTAAGACTAACACAAATAATGATGAACTAAACAATTACTGGTCCTACACAACCTTCACAACCATCCAAATGTTCAAATGGATGATTTTCTTTTTACATTTTTTTAGGACTACAGCAATTGAGAACAATGTAGCAAGAAAACAAGCTAGCATTTTCAATTAAAACCTAGAGTAAACAAAATAATAGACAGTCCTTGGATGTGCTAATCTCTACCTATCTATCTACGTATCCATCTATCTACGTATCTATCTATCTATCTGGCATCATCATCTCTACTGTTCTTGAAAATAGATTTACTATAAACTGCCAAAATTTCTTCTGAGATGGCTTTTTGTTTTCACTTTTTAGACTTGGACTTGGTTTAATTTTAGGAATAATGCAATATTGGAAGCTTTTAATGTCATCACTTTTGGTGTAGAGGATGTAATAAACACCGCTATCATAGATTCTATTACCATTTTTCCTAATGGATGTCTTTTCTCTTAACTTGGAAAAACATATTTAGTACTACAATTACAAAGTATGAGGTTTATAAAACATTAAGGAGGACTTTGTTTCATGGTGAAACTAACTAGGATATTGAGCCTAATCAATATCACTCTTTCAGCAAATATGGAATCTGAAATGGTTCTTGGATATCAGTTCTTATTTTGCCTCTTTCTTTCTACCTATTCATGTTATAATTAATCAGTTAATAACTGATTAATCAAATCACTAGACTGAAGAATTCATAAATCCAGCCCTTTATAGAAGTTTCCTAAACTTCTTCCCCAATTCTAATCATGGCTGCCACTTTCTACAATGTGATATATTTCTCTATTTTATGAAATATTGGAGTAAGAATCAGGAGAGATTACAGTTCTGACTCCAGCTCCATTGCTTATAAGCTAAAAGCATATTGACATGCCATTTAAACTTTCAGAACTTCAGTGTCATTATCTTAATAAATAAGGTTGCAACTACTGTCCTATGAATCTGAGGGAACTCATACATATCTCCAGTACATTTTCTAAGACCCAGAGTTGGACTAGGTTTCAGTAGTTCTTCTTTAACCCAAGAAGGTGTGGTCATTCATTTGTTCAATGAACGTTTGTTACCCATTTAATATGTCCCAGGACATATTGCTAGGGAAGCAGGAGCCTAGGGCAGCTAGAGTGACATATTTTAAATCAATTCCATTTTAAAACTAGCAAGGCACATTCCTTACAAGTCATGACCCATGGTCCTAAGATGTTTACAACTAAGGAAGCAGCTTGGTAATGCCTGAAAGGACAAACTCCTACAACAACAGAAAGTTCAGATGTCCCAATACCCGTAACATCGTATGTTTTCAGAATAATTATAGCCACTGTTAAAGTCACACTGAGCTAAGTACAGCAGGACATTTTTCCCTGTGCATGATTTTCTTACACTAATCCTTATGCTCCAGACTCCACTAACCCACCTGCAAAATCCCTATCTACTTGGATTGGGCTGTGTGGCTGCACTGGTTTTCCCAAACATTGCTCTACTAATATATATGTGACAGAATCTCTGCTCTGAAGGGATAAACTCTCATGTCTTTAAATTGGTGCCTGATTGTTGAGATACATTCCACCTTCAACACTCCCACTGGGCACCCAGCCCAAATGGCCTCTTTCCATTGTTTCCAGCCCCTTTGCCATCATTCAGTATGTTTCTTCTCCCTGGTGTTTTCTAACTAATTTGTTTCCCTCTATCCTTGTTTTAAAGACAACCCAGATGCCCTCTCCCCCATAAAGCCTCTAATCTAATGCTCTCTTCTAGTATGAGCTGTTACGGAACTTTGTGGCTCCTTTTTGGCATTCATTATTGTTTTTCATGTGATATTGGGTATTTGATCTATTTTATCTTCCTACAGATGCTAGCTGCATGAGATCAGGTATATATCTTATATTGTCTACCAAGTCTTAAGCACAGATTGCTTAGAAAATTTTCACTTGAGTCCATATAGTCCAAGAACAGTGAAAGCAGAATCTTAGCTATATCTCATTCTGAAATCTCTTATTTTAACCATGTCTGCATCATTTTTTGCCTTCACACCCCCTGGTACAGTGGTTACCAACTCTTAGTCTGTTTGAAGAAACATCAATTCATATGATTTTGCAGCATGCTGTAGAGAATATGATTGGCATGTTTACCTTTGTTTGATTTCATTATTGGAAAAGTTGTTAATCTGTGAAAGAGAAGTCAGGCTTTTTAAAACCCAAAGTATTTATTGATTTCTTATTTGGGCAAACATATAGGATAGATGAGATATCAATAACAGTTTTCATTTTATTGATGAAGAGACTGAGGCATAGTGATTAAGACATTGAGACAATTATTGATGGGACTGGGACTAAGACCAAGGTTGTCCAACTTCTATCTATTTTTATCTTGCCATTATAAATTTTTGTGAATACTTCTACCACTAACTACATGGAAAACAAAACAGTGTTCTTATTTTATTATATTGCATTGATGGCATAATTATGAACACTTAACATACAAATTAAGAAAAATAAAAGGAATTCATGTTTATTAGGTATGATTTATGTGACAAATACTTTATGGAGATTGCAGCTTATTCTTTGTAAAATGCTAAAAGATAAGTACTATTATTTCCGCTTGGTGCATGAAGAAATGGAGGCTTAGGGAGAGCAAGTAACTTGCCCAAGGTCACACAGCTGGAAAATAGCAGAACCTATGGGAGGGCTCTTTTATGAATAGTCCAAAACCTGAATGTTTGCCAGTAGTCAGTGGAAAGTGCAGCCTTGGATCCATTTTTTTTTTTCTATTACTTAATGTTGACAAGTTTGTTGACCTATCTGGACTTTAGTTTTATCCTCTGTAAAATGAGGGTAATGCCTGGTTTATTTCACTTAACATGATGATCTCCAGTTCCATACATGTTGTTGTAAATGACTGAATCTCATTCTTTTTTATGGCTGAATATCCATAAAAATAAATAGAAAAAGAATGAATAAGACCTATTATTCAATAGCACCATAGGGTGACTATGGTCAATAATAACTTAATTGTATATTTTAAAATAAAGAATGTAATTGGATTATTTGTAACTCAAAGGATAAAGGCTTGAGGTGAGGGATACTCCATTTTCATGACGTGCTTATCTCACACTGTATGCCTGTATCACAGCATCTCATGTACCCCACAAATATGTACACCTACTATGTACCCACCAAAATTAAAAATAAATTAAAAAATAAAATAATTAAAAATAAATAAAATGAGGATAATGCCTATTTCTAATGATCGTTGTATAAATTTAACAAGATTTGAAGTGCCTTGTTTTTTGATTGAGGACAGGAAATGTGAAAAGGCACTTTAGCAGCAAGGTCACTGATTAGAGACTTAGAAATGGGATTCAAAGATTTCTGATTCTAAGGCAACTGCTCTTTCCATTATAACATATACTTGGTTTGTAGTTAATGGGAGAGGAAAGCCTTTTTTTCTTATATTTCACAGAACATACATGATTTTCCAATGAAAAAGGAAACCAGATCTGGACTGTTTCTGAACCATCAACTGTCAATGTCAGTATATCTGTGTACTAGCTACAGGTGGTTCTGCAAAATGAGCTATGATGTGACTAATTTAAAACTAGAACAATCACAACTCATGTATAGATAAACCCCAGTAAATCCTAGTGTTTTTGTCTTAAAAACTTTTCGGTACCTTTCATGATGAATATGGCTGCTCTATTCTTTAAGGCAGCCAGTGTGTTTCCCAGACTTTCAACTATGTTGCACTGGAGGAAAGGTTCAAATAGAAAGATGATTTATTATAAGTATTCAAAACTGTCAGTGTGACAGAATTTCATCATATCTGGAAAACGTTAGCACTCTTGTTTTCAATTTAATATTTTGTAGCCTTTAGAACATGTGAATAAAAATTATGTAATTTTTTCTTGTCAGTCATGGATACATCAGGGTTAATGAGATTGTTTTTGATAAGGGCCTGGGCATGCTGGTGGAGGGCATGGAGACCCATGGCCCCCAAGGGAAAGCTAGGGTATAATTAAGTTAGAAGACAGACTAATTTTAGCTGGGAGCAGGTAAGTTAATCATGTGGATTTTACAATCTTGCTAAAATCAGCCTTAGAGATTGAGCCCAGCTTTATGTTTCTTAGAGTCCCAGAGTTCTTGCATTTCCTCTGAAGGCCAAGGAGATGTCAATATGTAAAGATGATGAAACTTTGAGGCCTACTCTTTTTAACATTAGGCAGAGAAGGTTAAAGAAACCCCGAGGTTGTTAGTCGAATCCAACCACTTGACCCGCTAAAAGAAAAGCTGAGGACAGAAAAAAAAAAAACAAGACAATTTTATTCCCTAATTATAGCTAGTTACCAGCAGAACTTAAATCTCTGGCTCTTATCTTTGGACTTTGCATAGTTAATGATTTAGTTGCTGGTGGCAGCAGATTCAGAGAGATAATACAGGCACTGAAAGCACAACAAACTTCTTGTGGGCAAAAAAGTCTTATCTTTATGCCCTCTAGAACCTGGCACATACATAGCACTTAAAATATTTTGGTCAATATATGAAAGTAAAGATCTCAGACTGAGTTAAATTGTCCCTCACAATTGCCTCATTCGACCTGTTTTTAACTACATTTTCTCTGACTTTTTTTGAGAGTAAAAGAAATTTCAACATTTGGACTGGGCATTTCTCATGACCCTAGGAAAAAAAAATACTTCACAGTGATTGGGTATTTCTTTCTTCTATCAAGTTCTGGCCCAATTTCTAATTAATGTGTGAACCAACTTTAAATAAGAAACAAAAGTATCTTTCAGTATGTCTTTCAAAAATACTAATTTAATTTCTATTTCTTTCAGATTGTAGAGTTAAGCATTAGAGACCACCCTTCAGAATGTAATATTCACTTAGCAAGAAGATGATAACTTTGGTAGTGTTTATCAAAAACTTATTTGCATTTCCTATCTTTTTCCACTACTATCATTTACCTATGACAAAAACAGATTTTCATTTTGTGTTATTATGATATATTTTTTTCAATTAGTTTTTTGAAAGCAGCTTTCACATCCTTGTTCCTCAAACTGTAGATCAGGGGATTCAACATGGGGATGATAATTGTGTAGAACACAGAGGCCCACTTGTCTTGGTCCAGGGAGTAGCTGGATGTTGGCCTCAGGTACATAAACATGACTGTGCCGTAGAAGAGGGTAACACCGGTAAGGTGAGACCCACAGGTGGAGAAAGCCTTAAGGCGGCCTTCAGCTGAATGCATTCTGATAATTGCAATGAGGATAAAGATATAGGAGATGAAGATGATGAGGATGGTGCTGAATTCAATGAAGCCACACAGACTGAAGAGCAAGATCTCACTGATGTAGGTGTCTGAGCAAGAAAGGGCCAAGAGTGGTGGGATTTCGCAGAAGAAATGGTTGATGATATTGGAACCGCAGTAACTCAGGCTGAAGGTGAGGGTAGTGTGGGCTACTAAACTCACTAGGCCAGCCAGGTAAGAGCCCAGCATGAGAGCCAAGCAGACCCCCTTGGACATGAGAGTGCTATAGTGGAGGGGTCGACAGATGGCCACAAAACGATCATAGGCCATGGCTGCCAGGACATAGCACTCAGCATCTACAAAACCTACAAAGAAAGCAAACTGGGTGGCACAGCTGGAAAAGGAGATAACCTTGTGCTTTGTTAGGAAGTCAGCCAGCATCCTGGGGGCAATGGCTGAGGAGTAGCCCAGGTCAACAAAAGACAGGTTGCATAGGAAAAAATACATGGGTGTATGAAGTTGAGTGTCTGTTGTAATCAGGATAATCATACCAACGTTCCCCACTACATTGACTAGGTAAACTATGAGGAAGACCACGAAGAAGATTACCTGCAGCTGAGGGTCCTGGGTGATGCCCATGAAGATAAACTCAGTCACCATTGAGTGGTTTTCTTTATCCATTGCATCAAGCATATGTGTGCCTAGATTTAGTTTATTGATGGATGTAGTAATTCCACAGTCGCTGAAAATATTCAAACTAAAGACAAGCAATTATATGCCAGAGATATTGCAAAATATCTATTTATCTATTGTGTGTGTGTGCATGTATTTCTACAATAAATGAAGGCTTTGTTTAGGATGATTCATAAAAATCTTTCCAGTAGTTAGATTCTAGGACCGATAGAATAACTCAAATGACTTTGTTAAATTTGATGATGTGTCCTCTCCATGTGCCCATTCACAACAGAAGGAAGTGTTAACTTCTTGGGAATGACACCTTCTGCTTCTCGAATGACCTTGGTGTTCTGGGGTCATTTATCATGTGATACTAGATGTTTGGCTCAGTCTGCACAATCGTGTGTGTTATTAATGAATAAAGAATAACAGTGTCGAATATTTCTTCTTTCTAAAACAAAGCAAATATAAAAGCAGATAACGAATAAACTTTAATTTTCATTACAGGTGGACATAGAAAGGAAAATAGATGATACAAGGATCTCAAAGTATAACGAATCACACATACACAGAAAGTAAACTACTTGGAGCTGAAGGTCAGAAATATTAAAAAAAGTAAAATTTAATTTTCAAAAGCCAGAGTTACTGAGTTGTCCAGGAAAAATAAAAAAGCATATTTCTGATTTTAAAAACTTGTATCCATAATATAAAAAGAGATTTTAAATCCTAATAATAAAAAATCAAACAATCCTATAAAAATAGGCCAAAAATTTCAATAGATACTTACTTACCAAAGGAGATAGCTGAATAGCAAATAAATGCATAAAATTGCTCAAATATTCATTAGAAGAATACAAGTTAAAAACACAATAAAATAATGTTACACAGTAACGATTAAACTTTTAAAAGACTGAATATACCAAGTGTTGACAAGGAAATAGAGTAACTGGAAATTTCATCATTATTGGTAGAAATGTAAAGTAGCACAACCACTTTGGGAAACACCTTGGTAGTTTCTTATAAACTCATTTATTAACCCTGAAAACATCCTAACTGTACATAGGTGACAGACTAAATAAATTGGGGTATGTCCATAAAATGAAATTCTACTTAATGATCAAAAGAATCAGATTATTGATACAAACAACTTGTTGAATGAATCTCAAAATAATTAGACTGAGAGAAAACAGCCAAATAAAAAGAGTATACCTTGTGTGATTCCATTTATAAAAATCTAGAAAGTGTAAGATAATTAATATTGACAGGATGCAGATCAATGATCTCCTGGATAGAGGTATGTGTCAGATGGAGCAGAGGGGAGGGAGTATCAAGAGGCATGAAGAAATTTTGGGGGTAATGGATTTATCTACTGTCTTCATGGTGATAATGGTTTTGTGAGTGTATACATATATTAAGACATATCAAACTTTATACTTTAAACATATTTAATTTGTTGTACATCAGCTATACCTGAATAAAGTTGCTGCAAAAAAGAAGAGAATACTTGTCTCTACTCTAGTTCAGCTATTTCTCACTACATGTGAATGCAGAGATCTTTTCATAGGCTAGATTGATGAGGAAATAAAAAGTTAGGCTGATGGACTGGCAAAGTCGCTTGCTGATTCTGTGAGCTGCAGAATCAGAATTTGGTACTACCAATTCCCTATGTAGTGCTGCATTCATTTTTTCCCTTTATTTCTTCATGCAGGAATTTAAAAATAACCCACAAGAAAAAAACAAAAACAAAGAATTATCTAACATTTGTCAGCGTGTTCTTCAACTTTAGCTAGAGAAAAAATAATCTTATTGTTGAAGATGGACCCATCTAGCCAACCTTATCCTTATACTTTTTTTTTTTTTTTTTTTAAGACGGGGTTTCAATGTGTCTCTCAGAGTGGAGTGCAGAAGTGTGATCAAGGCTCACTGCAGCAACCTCCACCTCCTAGGTTCAAGTAATTCTCCTGCCTCAGCCTCTCAAGTAGCTGGGACTATAGGCACTCACCATCACACCTGGCTATGTTTTGTATTTTTAGAAGAGACAGGGTTTCACTATGTTGGTCAGGCTGGTCTTGAACTCCTGACCTCAGGTGATCCAACTACCTCTACTTCCCAAAGTGCTAGGATTACAGGCGTGAGCCAGTGTCCAGCCTATACTTATACTTTTATAGATGAGGAAACAGACTCAGACACTAATTAAAATGCAGATATTAAATTGCAGTATTTAAAGGGGTAGGAAATAACCTTGTAAGAAGAACTGTAAGTCAGGACTCTAATCCACAGCTGGATATGTGCCAGTCAATCCATTTAATTGGATTGGAAAATGTAATTAAAAAATAATTCCTTTCTCCCTTATAGATTCAAGGCTCTGGTTAAATGAAGCAGTGTATGGGAAGGTGCTTCACCAGCAATAAAGCATCCTGCCTGTTCTCATTTATAGTGAACAGACAATTTCAGGTTTTACCATCTGCTACTCCTTATTTCAACACAAGACTCAGATTCTTAGAGTCATAATTTTTCATTTGCTCATTGAAGCTAATAATGACTCCCTCAATAAATTTCTGTAAAAATTTCTTAGCATATAGACAAATTACTGAATTTAGTGACATCATGCATTAGGTGCTTAATGCAATTGGTCACTGTGTGCAAGTATTGATGTTTTAATTCATTAGATGAGTGTGCACTCATAATTCCTAGAAAAAATGTTTCATGCCTATTCCATAGAAATGATGTATCATGGACTGCCTGAACTTTTAGGGAGACATAGATTTAATTCTGTAGCAATTCCATTAAAGGATATTTAGAGATAAGGCTGTAATATTCTAAATTGAGCTTGACTAAGACAAAAGGAAAGAAAACCTCTACACTTTTCTTTTTGGTCCCATGTCACCAATGTTCAGCCCAGTAGACTCTAAAAGAAATGATAGAATATTCAGCAGATAAGCACATTCCGTTGTTAATAATAAATTCAAATATTTAACACAAGACCAGCACAAGCATTCTGTTATGGAAGTAAATAAAGGAAAAAAATGTATTTAAGATTTCTATGTATCACTTGCTTTTTCAAGTTCATGTGAAAAGAATAGTGGAGCAAGAGTCTGGAGATCCTGTTTATAGTCCCATGCCTTTTAAAGAATCAATTGTTGGCCGGGCGCGGTGGCTCAAGCCTGTAATCCCAGCACTTTGGGAGGCCGAGGCGGGTGGATCACGAGGTCAAGAGATCGAGACC